GCATGCATTTTTGCAAATGCATGCTAAGGCTTAAAGCAGCAACAACGCTACAAATAAAAACTGATGATGGAGGAAAAATACACCGAAACGTATTTTCATTGATAAATAGAGACAATAAATGACTGAAACCCAGGAATGAATTTGATTGGGAATTAAATTTACTGCCGCAATTTTTGCATGCACAATACAAGTTCTTAAAGGGTTCAAGAGGTTTTTTCAAACAGTGACAGATTTTGGAGGAATTTTCAAAGTTTTGAATTCAAATTTTTATGGAAACTCACTACAAGCTCTTGCGGGAATCGGTAGTAAAAATCCGGATAGTGAACGATTTTAAAGAAATTTTCAGCATCTTTATAAAGAAGTGTCTTCTAGAGATGGTGAAAAATTCAAATTGCTGCCTGTTTTAGTTCGGAAGATGCGAATTTTTAAAGGAGCGCAGTTCGGTATCAACATGCATGATTACTGTTAATTTGAGGCGGTTTGGCATCATTGCAAAGTGGGCTCAAGCCCCACGCCGACTTTTCGGTCATATATTAATAACGGGTTTGACAGTGGCAGATGGCAAGTTGTTTATAACAGCTTTTTAACGCGAAGAAGTACAAGTTATTACTCTGAGTGTGTTTTTGGAGCCCTCGAAAATTTTTTACCATAGGAACATGTACTATAGTTCGGGGGGCAACATTTCGCTGGGCAAGCGCAGACGACTGGAACTGGTCGCCTAACCTGGCAGTTGTGGTGGGAGTGCAGTGTTTCATGTGTTTCGGCGTCCATTAAGATTTCGCAGTTAATTCTGAACTCATTTAGTGGAAAAAGTAGCAAATTAGCGAAAATTCGTCAAAAAGCCCACGTAGTGGTCGTGTAGCCTTAGCAGGCGAGAATTTCTAACAGTTTTCGAGACGTAAGTGACTAATAGTGTAAGTTCATTGGTGTATTGATTTTTCAGTTTGGAACAGGGACAAATATGGACTCCGACACAGATCGTCGGACGTATCGAAAATTCCGCGTTGCTCTCGTCCGGAAAAACACGCGCTTTCGTCGAAATTTTCCCCGGAAATTGCATAAACTTTAGTGCGTTGCCCCGTATGCTACCGAGTCTTTGTTGCTTGAAAAGCTTTCGGTTTAGTTGACACACCTCGTTCTAAGCGATGCCGTTCCGTAAGTCCGCAACGTTCCTAAAAGACGGATATTCCTGCTGCCGTCGCAGTCCACCCTCATCAGGGGCCCGCAGGTCGAAACGTCGGAAAGGTCCGGAATTCCTTCGCTTGGTTGTGTGAATGTGGCGAATGAATGGCTATTTTGCGTAAAAGATTGATGTTTGTTATCGTTAACATGTGCATGTCGCGCTTCGCCCCTCAATGAGGGAGGACTCGGTTCTCGAGCCATTTTGCGGTGTGTCAGCTCTATTGCCAGGGCGCTAAAAGGTTTTATACCCAAAAATTGCCGGTCCCGCGCGAAAAAACCTACTAGAAAGCCAAAAATGTTGCTCTAACAACCCAAGCACTGGGTCTAGCCATTCCTAAGACGATGGATTTTACCAAGAAAATAATACCTGTGGCTTTGGTTTTCACACTATTTCATACAGTGGATAGAGGTATTTTTTAACTTAGTTTTTTGCGTGAGAAATACTCTAAATATTGTCACTATCCAGGACTTATTGCTCCTGCTGAACAAGCACAATTCAATAATGTAGTAAACTGCTCAAGTCCAATTGGCAGTTTTTCTTAAAAAGTCGATTATTACTCACATGTGCCTCATTTTAATGTTCTGTTATCACTTCTAGTTTCTATCAATTTTTTGTTTTATAGGAATGAAAACAAATTGTTTTATATAATCCTATAGCTTTGAAATGTCATCTCGTAGAAGGAGTCGCAGCAGGGAGAGGAAGAATTTATCTTCCAAACTTCGTATGGACAAGAATGCTCTTCCCACAAGGATAACCGGTATTTATCACTTTTGTATTTGCGCTAAGCTTTGTAGTTTTGTGTTCCTTTCTTTAGCTGCAGTGAACAGAGGAAGCTTTAAGAAAATCCCCTTATAGGGAATAAACAACCAAATCAAAGTTCATTCCTGGATTTCAGTCATTTATTGTCTCTATTTATCAATTACAATACGTTTCGGTGTATTTTTCCACCATCATCAGTTTTTCTAAAATAACAAATAGTTAAAAAAAAATCATATATTTAAGTATCTGAACGAAGAATTCTAGTCTCTTCCCAAATTTGATTGTCCTGACTAATCACCTGTTAGGCCTAATTAATTTTAGAATGTTTTAAAGTATTGCAATTGTGATGTATTTTAATGTGTGATATGATGAAGCTGTTGACGAACTGTGGTTGTTTTTTAAATTAATGAACTATGTTATTTTAGAAAAATTGATGATGGTGGAAAAACACACCGAAACGTATTTTAATTGATTGAGACATAAATGACTGAAACCCAGGAATGAACTTTGATTTGGAATTGAAACACAGTCAGGAAAGTATATACAATGAATAAACGTAACTTCAAAATCGAACAAATAGAACATACAGAGGCTAGAATTTTTTGAATGTCTTGTTAAACGCGCAAAAATTTTCAAATTTTAAGTTTGACCTGAAAATAGCACTACAGCTTTTTAACAATACTGTATTAAAGCGCTTTCCAAATAATTCCAAATCAAAATCAATTCCTGGGCTTCAGTCATTTATTGTCTGTTTATCAATTAAAATACGTTTCGGTGTTTTCCACCATCATCAGTTTCTATGTGTAGCGTTGTTGCTGCTTTAAGCCTTGGTATGCATTTTTTGGCACGCAAAAATGCGTTTAATTGATAAACAGACAATAAATGACTGAAGCCCAGGAATTGATTTTGATTTGGAATTGAAACACAGTCAGGAAAGTATGTGCAATTTCCAAATAATCCACATTTGCATCGATTTCTCTGATGAATTAGTGCAAAAGCATTGGAGCAGATTCTCGATTGTATCTGGTGCCGATCTTGTAATGTTGATTTCTTTAGACCCTAGTTTACCTGCTGGAAGACGACGTGAAATTGATAACGTCATGAAGAAAGCACGAGCGCACAATTCGCCCAATTCGAGTGCCATTTGGGAAAAGAAACTGCTGGAAGTGGAAGCGAAGGATTCCAATAGGTGTGAACATTTGATTTTTGGGTTAGTTTCGCTTGAATTAATTGGTGAATGTTTCAGATGGAGGCACTCAGGCTACAAGTCGTTATACCTGGATGGCGGCTCCTCCTCCCGTTCTCGTTCGCGTTCGCGCTCGTTTTCCTCGACTCGCCGTGGAATCGGCGCGAGCTCTCCGTCTCCTCGACGAGCTCGGTCGCCTCGCGCTCGTTCGCCCCGATCACCGCCGCCCCGAGCCCGTTCGCCGCGAAGCCCGCCGCCTCGAGGTAGGAGCCCCCGGTCGCCTCCCGCTAGGAGAACTACGTCGCCCATAGCTTACAGAGGCGGACGGCCCAGGACTCCCCCATCCCCCAGGAAAAAGTAAATCTCTTTCTTTAGACCAGTCAGTTGGACCTTCCTTTACTATTTCAGCAGCAAATGCGTGCGGAGGTCTGCTTCAGCCAGCAGTGTAAGCAGTTGCTCGGACGACTCTTGTTCAGTCTGCTCGCCTAAGCATCGCCGTCGATCCCGGTGAGTTTCGCACTAAATGGCCCCACTCTTGTTCATAATTCAACTGTTCTTAGATCGCGCAGTTTTTCGCCCTCGCGTCGTCCATCTGCGTCCAGTGCGGTGCAAAAACCGCCTCCTCCCAAGCCCACCACTTCCCGGCGTCGCCCACCCAGTCCGTCTCCTCCGCCGCCCAGACGGATGCCTAGGCCGATGACGCCTCCTGTTGCGAAAAGGATGCCTCGCCCCACTTCCAACGACAGGCCCACGGATCCCAGAACGAGGCCTCCTCCGCCCAGGCCGATGCCGCTTAAGGCCGCCCCGAAATCTGGAGAAAAAGCGCCCACCAAGCAGGTATGTGGAACAAAATATCTAATTTGTAGATAAGTTCTATGTTGTTGAGGCGGATTCATTTTTTTACAAACTTCTTTTTGGCTATTTCGCCTCAAAAAGTTTTGTCTTTAAAAAGACAGAATTT